TGGTAGTGGGGACCTGGGTCGATCACCAGTGCCCAGGTAGTGCAATTAGTTAGATATAACGTCCAACTGGAGATCGGAGGTCCCGGGTACAAATCCCTGGCTACACAAGCAGTACACGCATGGCAAGGGTATTCCCAAACCTATGTGGTTCATATAAATAATGTTGTCTTCCAAGACTTAGAAAAAATTGACTTCTAGGGAATATTCTTGTTAAGATATCTCTTAATGAGTTTCGGAGATTCCGGGTTCGAATCCCAATCTGGCGGTTGATACATATTTATGGACATGTATGACACTAGCCCACACATACATCAACATAAGTTCGTTAAATATCTAATCTGCGTTCTTCTCCAGCAGATAATCATTCTGATACCTATATACTGGACAGTAGATACACCCATTAACTATACGGTCCTAATCTTCTAATCTATTTCAGTGACATGTTCATAACACATTGTTCAACTTAACATTCCTCTAATGTATATAATTTGTATCCAAACATAATGATGTGCTCCATGAATATTAAATATGCATTCCTTCTATGTACCATTCATACATACATATTTGTATACATACATAACCTCCCGAATGTCAACCCTCATCATCATGGCACCCACTGTAACAATCTCTCAAGATTTAAATAAAAACCAACAAAAACGTCGAATTGTTCTCGGTAGAAATGTCGCTACAATTCAGAATTAGTATGGCAAAAGTATGATAATGTTTTCCTGTTGCCATGCTAATGTAGAACCACGGAATTAGGTTATCTAAGTCCGTGGTAGAACATTCGCCTCCCATCTCTTTATAAGTACACGTTAGTATATACCATATATCGTAAATGCTGTGTTATGTTGCTGTAACGATTGTTTGGGCTCTGTAGACGGTTTCCCTGCGTGATGCACCCTCCCCATCAATATTTCACGAGCCGATTGATCTCGCGGTACATTTAGGGCCTATCCTGCCCACATCGCTAGCTTACCTGTGAGCTTCTCGTGCCTATGGAATACCTACAGTTCGCACCTGGCTAAGAAAACCCGTTCCTCTACCCTCTGAATCAGGTATGACAGGTCCTCAGGTAATAAAACGGTTTATAGTTGTTTACGTAATGAATAAATTATTATCAATTGTCTGTTTGTAGATAAATATTGACAAATGTCATGCATTCGCAGGTAAGAAATACATTAAACAAGTGTTTATGAATGAGCCGTCATGGAGTGAACTACATGCCCGACCCAAATTTTAAGCTTGAAAGTAGAAGCGTGTCGAGTGGAAATGTCTATAATAAACAAAGTCAGGACAAGCAATATCTATCTACCACTTTTTACCACTATCTGTGATCAATTTCATAATTATACCAAAGTATTTGAATTATTATCTTCAACATGGAGTTCTGTTTCACGATATCATGACGTCAGTTTTTATCTCACCTGCCTGAGGGGCGAATGATTGCATGCCGTTGCACGGCATTATTTTTCATTTGAAAGTATATCCCTTCCCGATGGATGATCAGATTTGAACCAAATTGGGCTTTAAATGTTAAATACGAGGGTGCGCCCCTCTTGCGAAAGAGGGTGGGTCTCAACAGGGGAAAAGATATATCTTAATAAGAATATTCTCTATTCCATTTTTTCCAGTATAGGATTTAAACCTAATTTTGTATCAAACGTCACTGGAAAAGGGTTATCATTGTTGTATAAACAAAAAGCGTGTCCCCCACACATAAAAACACATATCTCTGAAGAGAACTAATTACTTTGAAACTGTTGAATTCCCTACCCTATACTAATATATTTGATAATCATCAAGACAAGAATACATTCACGCGATTATACTGGCAAAGAGGTCCGGCCTTAGGAACTGAGACCATGGGTCATATTACATAAAAGGGTTGTACCTGACGAGACAAGCAGTCATACTACCAGAATATTGGCACTGGGGACCAGCCCTGCCCATGGGGATTTTGTCTCTGGGTCATATCACTGTAACTACTGTGACCCCAACATCATAACGCTAGGCATGATGAAACGACAACAATTATGCTACAAGGATTGTGCAGAGAGGTTTGGTCCCACCGCTGGGGGCTTAGTCCCTCTGTCATTGAATGGAAACACTCGACAGTCCAACCCTATGAACGCGTATGTGTGTGTCAGGCATGCATAATCAAACACGTGTTAGGCATAAAGAATCAAACACACTCACGCTGTCAGGATTGACCCAGAGGTCCAGCCCTGCCCTAGGTACACGATTTTGTCCGTGGTTTCTAACATGGAAATGGTTGAGATCCCCAACCCGTAGACATATATAATGTTAGGCATGAGGAGACGAACCAAACACAATCCATTAACCCAGATAAACCCGGGGGTCCATTTCTGCCGCTTTGGACGTAGTCGTCGGGTCATTACTTTGAACGTATAACTGTTCCACCTTGTTTATGAACAGATAAACACAATCATGCCACCAAGATTAGTCATGAGCCTGGCCCCACTCCTGGGGACTTGGTCCATTGGTCGTATATGCAACTAGACAAACACACTCGTGCAATACAATTAGCCGAATGGTCAGGCTCAACTTTTGGTCCCATGCAGGATCATAATATGAAAATATTGAGATCACCTCCCTATAAACATATACATGTACAGATATCAAAAGAATTGCTATTATTACGTTTATTTCTTTAAGTTCAAAGACTTGAGCAATGCTAATGTAGCTTGGTGACTTATCTCTATTCAGACGTTTCGTTATTCCAGAGACTAAAGCGAAACATGATTACTAGAGCTTGATGAACATCTGCAAGCATTTTAAACAAAATCTTAAAAAAAGCTGACCCCTTTGTCTAAAGTTTCTAATTATTTGTCACGCGTGGTTCGTTTCGTGTCTTACATATGAAATTACTTGAGGAGTCATTTCATCGTTAATCGTATTTGTGTTACATCGACAATTGAAGCTATTTTTGGGTCTACGTATATCTACTACAATGCTGATTACGTCACAGATACTCATCATGCTGTATCAACAGTGAATACAACAGGTACAAATAACAGGTGGAAAATCAAATAATGTGGGGGTATCAATATTGACACACTTCTTTCCACCAGAGATATATAGTCTAAAGTACAGACTTCACGGGAAACTATCAGTGAATTGTCCATCACATCCTGTATTGTTGTAGGGAGTTTTCAATGTATATTTCACAATCTAGGCTCAACAAAAATCTCCGAGAAAACCTATGCTCAAACCCATTATGGCGTGTTAAATATCACAAGCTTATTTTGTTCTCAGTGTCTACTAAGTCCTATATTTAAACCTGGTTAGATATAGGTATAGAGTTCCCAGTCCTAGAGTATAATCAAACCTCGTTATATCGAAGTTGATATGACCTATTGTCTACAATTATCTCAATTATTGTCAGTGTATATACAGTATAATTAAGCGGACTATATAGGTTTAACTACGACTGACAAAAATCACATAAGAAGGGCTTTCAATTTATCCGAGTTAAAAAAAAATCGAAATAAACTGCCACCAGGACAAAAGTGCCGTCGATGAAAACGATGTTAGGTCCGGAGTTCGAGGTAAACGATGATTTGTCAAGCGTTGACTTGTCATGAGTTCGAAGCGATTAAAAGTTACGAGTTCGAGCTAAGTGATTATAAGCCATTATCCGAGCATGGTTCAGCGATGATAAGTAAAGAGTTCGAGGAAAGCTTGGATAAATCACGATTTCGAGATAAACGATAGGTTAAGAGTTCGAGGAAAGCGTTGATAAATCATGAGTTCGAGATAAACGATAGGTTAAAAGTTCGAGGAGAGCGTTGATAAATCATGAGTTCGAGATAAACGATAGGTTAAGAGTTCGAGGAAAGCGTGGATAAATCATGAGTTCGAGATAAACGATAGGTTAAAAGTTCGAGGAAAGCGTGGATAAATCATGAGTTCGAGAAAAACGATAGGTTAAGATTTCGAGGAAAGCGTGGATAAATCATGAGTTCAAGATAAACGATAGGTTAAGAGTTCGAGGAAAGCGTTGATAAATTATGAGTTCGAGAAAAACGATAGGTTAAGATTTCGAGGAAAGCGTTGAAAAATCATGAGTTCGGGGAAAAAGATAAGTTTGTGTTGAAAAAATACGAGTCTGTAATAAACGACGATAAGCTCCGAGTTCGAGATAAACGATAATAAGTCTTGTGTTCGAGATAAAGGATGATAAGTCGTGAGTGCGCGGTAAGTGATGAAGTATGAAATGGACCGACATTATCTGACCGTTTCACCGTAGGTTTATATTTAGACATTTGCTGGTGATATGTTACTAGTGATGACAGAAATGTGTCACCACCAGATGTACATGTCTTGATATAAAAAAATGCAGTGAAACATGGACTTAATTAACAAATATTAGTCACTGTTCATTTTATAGTGAAAACAGAAGATTTGTTAATTTTAGTCACAAGCACGGCGTCTCTTAGCTTTTGTTGAAGTTTATTGCAAATTGCATTACGATATATATAATGTAATTAACTTCTGAACCATTTGGCGTATGCCAATGAGCTTACATGCGTGAAATATCATCTAAGTAGTGTGAAACGCTACCTAATTAGAGTTAATTGTCGTGTTAATATTTAAGGTTAGCAGGTAAGACGCACGTCCCAACACGGTCGATGTAGTACAGGTGTATAGTCTGACAGAAAACACCAGGTATAATGTGACACAGCATTGTCCCTTGGTGTAGCCAAATATCATATTTCCTCTTACATCACAAGAACAGGTGAACTCATATGTAATCAAAACTGGGGATACACGACAGCGCAAATAAAGAGTATAATATATCGATTACATGGTTAAAGCGATTAACAAACCAAGACACAGGTATATATAGTTCATAGTAAATACATATTTAATAAACTAACTAACTTCCCCGAAATCTCATCTGTCGTTTAAGAGTACCTCTGCTATTTTCGTTTTACCTGACAATTCAATCATAATACCTGTGATTCTGTATTTACCTGAGTACCCCCTTCAGGGTTCAAGAAGGTGGCGATGCCGGCCTTTACCCTGTTTTGTAAGCCCCGGACGCTGCCTCTCCTACTCACTATGGGCCTCTCCTGAAGGGACCTGGGACTCGATACATCCCTCCGTCCCACGAATGCACCGTCCTCTACAGGAGTATTTTGATTTTCGTCCATATTAAACTCTTTGACGGACAACGCCCGTGTTTGATCCGATATGTCCCGGTCACTGAGACTGTGGACCACACACTCACTTGGCCCTAGTTTAGTCAGCTTTTTGTCTAGCTTTTCCCAATCCATATCCTTGGTGCCAGTTCTCTGTTGAACCTTTGTATATTTCACTCTCTGGTACCCGTTTCTTTGAGCCATGGTTTCTATTTTGGCATTAGAATTGCCAGTCTCGGTCTCCCCCGAGCCCACTGATTGAACATCGTCGGTCTGCCCCTCCCCCGGGCCATCCGACTCCACATCACTGGAGGAATTGTTGATACACTCCTCCAGCCTCACGTTCCCATTAGTAAGGGGATAGTCACCGTCCGTCCCCTCCGGCATAGCCATCCACACATGTGTAGGTAAATCACAGGTATTCCAGTCTCCCCCGCGGACTGCATATATAGGTACGCTCGCTCCAGCAGACGGCCTCTGATATAAACATCAGCTGGATAACTAACACAGGTAAAAGAATTACCTGTGATCACGTGACGGGCGTACGTCACTCGCCGTTACAAAGTATATAGGTATACAGGCGGGAATGCCCTATCTTGCAGGGTGAGATACACCTAGTGAGATACCTGGGCTTCGGGATGGGGAGACTGGGGATCGATACCAACACAATGGTGCTACTGTATCGTATACTACACACGGTACAGCTGTCGGCTCGCACTGCCGCACTCCGAGATCCACCAACAATAACAGAACGTGTATAGGTGAAACGATGGGTTGCTCTATCTTACCGACCCAGCGTATTGATCTTTATTGACAAATATTACTTTCTATAAAATAGTGATGAACTCGTGAAATTATTAATGAATTATTGACCGATTAGAAACTTCGTATTTATAAGTAAGAAATAAATATGTTTCCATGACGTTGATTTATGTGCTAATAATTTATGTTTATGGGTTTCACAATATAATTAATTGAAAACAGTGCCAAACATACAATTAACGTAATTTATCCAGCTTACACTGGTTAATGTGGACACCGTTGCATACATGTTAAAAGTCAGATAATATCAGACATTTAATATATTTAATATATACATGATATAATATATGACCCTTTTACTTTTATTGTTTTGTTGTTCTAAAAATGAATATGAATAAGTAAAAAAAATAGAATGATAAGAAATTGCTCCCTACATATTCTTTCAAAATTATTTTGTAACGAAAAGTCTCAGAATTTCATCATATTCAAAGTTTAAAAACTTAACAATCTAATACGTCTCCACATAGGATATAAGAACCGTTGAAAGAACTAACCGCATGTGTTTCTGTGACATTATACTCTTTTGTTTTTTTACTACCAATAATATTGAAATCTCCATAGTTAGACTAACTATATAGTTTAGACATAGACCCAGTTGATTTTGTATCTTGCCGACAGGCTGATGTCCGGTCTAGAGGTCTCGTGTACAACAGAGGACAAGTTTTATCAGCTGGACCGAGCTACTCTTCCACCGGACACACATACACATTAGTGCCACTCCGGTACAAAGTTGATCGGACCCCGAGCATACCAGCTACCCGCATCTCCAGGTAACTCGGACAAACACCAAAACTTACCGATAAACATACTTTCTAGGTTTTATAGAGCTGTATAACACGACCAAGTAGTTGTTCATAAACTCAGAAATATATAACAAACATGATTTACTTTGAAATCATTTAACTACTTATCTTATTCGTTATCTTTTGTACGGAAAATTGATAAACAGGACATAAACCGCACTAAGTCATTACTGAGACATTTCGACCTCAATGTATGACCGTCTATAAATGTAGTGCACTAATAACTTGTATGATCGTCAGTAAGGGGCCAACAATAGCCATACTTTGAAACGTTTCGACTTTAGTGCTCGACAATCCTAACAGAAAAATCCGAAATGTACTGACACGTTATAACATAGCATGGCTTCCTATATGTGTGTAGTTTACTACCATATTTAATTTCCAAGACATTTCGACCTTTGTGTCCAATCCCGTCTAAGCCAGTGGGAACTTTTCTCCCAAACATCAGGACACTGACCGGTCAAACTCGGTGATCTATTACCTAACATTTCAATTAGGTACTTTGATGATCTCTGTACAATTTGACATGGACTGGAGGTGATAAAGACAATTTAAAGATAAAGGTAGTTTTAACGGCAAATTATAGTCCACCTCCATGCATAAATAATTAACCGGTGCCTTAAATAATACGTTACCGGTAAAGAATATTTCAATCAGAGGCCATCAACGCGACTCGTTTTATACCCGAGGAAGACAAAATGTTTAAGTGATATATAGCGTATATACATATATATTAATATAAATAAAACAAAACACGAAGACTAGTATAATCGGCTAGCGCTTTCGCCCATCTTGGGGCTCTTAGACAGTTGGTATGTTTAGTAGTGTACAGTTCACATCAACAGACAGCTGGTATAGTAGTGTAGGGTACACATCTACAGCCAGTTGATATGTTTAGTAGTGTACAGTACACATCAACAGACAGTTGGCTCTTAAGGCGATTTTCTGGGCGAAAAAGCTAGCCGATTATACTATAGTCTTCGTGTTTTGTTTTATTTATATTTTTACCGTCACATGGACATTTAAAACTATTTACCTCTTTATTAATATATAATATAGATAATTAGGTATGCTATACAGATTTCGTGGTAAAGTCCTCTCGGAGCTTCACTCACTACGATAGCGGTAAAAACAATAAACAAACTGAGTTAACAAAATATTATATTCAAAACTAACACATTAAAAAGTCGAACAAACACTCGGTCAACACAAAAATAGACATTATGACTTCTATAACAATTCGTAATAACAACAGAACAGCATAAAAATACAATTGTGCATATGAAGTTTCGTCACCACATCAAGTAAATCGGCGGTGCCAATGTCGGATCAAGCTATTGTACAATCTCTTTGAGAGATTTCCATTAACCATTACATTAATTCCCAGTTTCACTTTTCATTTATGTTAATCCCTCGGGGGGATTGCCACTAATCAATCATGTGAGGATTTCGATCGAGGGTCTCTCTTCCCCAATTCACACCAACCACTGTTTATTATACAGTGTACACAAATAGAAATAAAACAGTTGTATTTAAATATAAAGTAAAAACATAAGACATTCAATTGTTCTCAATTTCTCTAAATTTGGTATTCAAAAAAAATATTTAATCGATATTCAAGATTCTGATACCATTTCTCTACTTACATTTACGGACAAAAATATTCATAACAGGGATTTATGTAGCGTGTCATACATAAAATATTTTGTTAATGTAATATTTTATTATAATTTTCCATTGGACGTCTTGGAGAGTGGTAAAAGGATGCAAAATGTTCGTTACTAGTATTGTAAAGTTTTCCTTTATGATGGCTTGGCCATAAATAAATAATTCCATTGTGCTCAACTAGTTTGTCGACATTTTGCTAAATGGAATGTTTGGTTTTGTACGAAAGTATATCAGTTAACCTCGACGGTAGCGGTAAGTCTGAGATTGTACAGAATCGGAGCCTTTTGGAAATGAAATGCTGTCTGATGGAGAGCATACAGAACGCTACAAGCGTCCGAGGCACCGAGGCAAGTGCGTTCACGTGTGTTTGAACACTTATTTTCAAAGCCTTTCCTCTAACTTCGTCGTCGTCATCCGAATCTGAATCAGAATCGTCTAAATCACACGCCTCTTCGTCATCTACGTCACCTGTCAAATCAGGATGTACAAAGCAACCATGTTCGAGGAAAAAATTGGCGACGGCCGTATGTTCCTCGCTGTCACACTCTAGAGCCATGGCCAAAGCCGATTGTCCACTGTCCGAAACGAGGTCAATGTCTGACCCTGACAACAGAAGCATATTGGCCATATCTACATCACCATTTAAAGCGCATTGGTGTAGAGGCGCGATACCGCGTGACTTAGCATTCACATTGGCGCCGTGTGTTATCAGGGCGTCAAGAAGAACAGTGTTTTGTTCGATTATGGCGGTGTGGAGAGGTGTGCAAATATCACCTGTATTTTGGTATTCTAAGTTATCAACATCACAACTATTTTCTAACAAGAAACTTGTAAGTTCTTCTATGTCTTTGGCCGATTTCATGGAAGCTAATGAATGTAAAAGATTTCTGTTTTTGGTATCTAATACACGAAAGTCCTGAGATTTACACTCCTTCATGAAATACCAGGCTACATCTAACGAGCCATTGGTGAGTGCTACAAACAGAGGTGCTTCACTTTGACTGACGTTATTGACGTCTGCTCCATGCTGAACAAGAAAATCTGCAAGCTTGACCGAGTTTTGTTTCGCTGCATATTGCAACGGCGTTACAGGGCGGCTACCGAACGACGCCATCATAAGCTTTCCTCCTAATTCTGTGTCCGCGCCACCATTTAATAAATGTTCAATCATGCCCATGTCCAGTAGCCCATCGATGTAGAAAGTGCAGGCGCGCAGAAGTGGCGGGAGATTGTTTGCAAACTGTAACGTCCTTTTGTTTGGATTGGGATTAGCTCCACAGCGGAGCAGGAACTTTACCATGTCAACATGTCTACCAACTACGGCGTATTCTATCGGTGTAACACTACTGTTAGAATACTTCTTTGGTAAATTTACAAAATCTTTTATCGGTCGCCTTGCATTAGATGGAAAAATGAAATCATCAACGTTTCCGATATCTGAGTCTATCCACTCCGATAGTAACAGCAAAAACACACCAACGTCACCTGCCTGTGCTGCCAGATGTACAGGAGCCATTCCCATGTCATTGAAGAGACAATTGACTCCGTCCTTAACCAAGAGTTTCACAACCTCTCGGTGTCCTCCCTTGACTGCCAAGTGAAGGGCGGTGTTGTCGTAGACATCCTTAACCAACGTGTTGCAGCCAGCCTCCATCATCCACTTCACCACGTCTGCCACGCCCTTGTCAGCGGCGTAACAGAATGCTGGCGTCTTTGTGAGAGGGTCTGCCTTATCAAGGTTACACCTGGGATGGTTGATGAGTGTCCGGGCAACATCCAGACATCCCTTCCTGATAGCCAGGTGAAGAGGCGGCTCGCGGTCCCAGTCTTCCACATTTACACCACTTCCGCTCTCGATCAGTAGCAAGGCGATTGGGGATTGCTTGGCGCCTATAGCGGCACAAAGAGCCGTGCCTCGCATTCCGAGAAGGTGGTCGACATCGGCGCCCTCGGATATGAGAGAGCGCACCACGTCTTCGTCCCCTCCGATAATGGCTTTATTCAGGATGTCCGCTTTAGCCATACTCTTCCCGGTGCAGCACACTACCTTGGCTAGCCTTCTCTGAAACCAAAGATGATAGGAATGACGTGAGTAGGGCACTGGATGACGGATATATTATACAGAATGATTGCACAAGTTCAGAACCACTTTCTGTTTCACTGACATACAATATATACATGATTTTTGGTGGTCAACGACCTTGAATTAAATCTAGAGTTTACAATAACCTAGTAATGCAAAATACTAAATATACTAAATATATTTCTAGAAAAATTACCCTTAGCACTTGTGGCAATATTACATCGCTTTTCAAAAAAAAATGAGTCCCTGTAATGGAAAATGAGCACACCCAAGAAATACGTAATATCTAAACGTGTTCATCAGCCATTTTTCTGTACAAACTTAGATAACACAGTACAAGGACACTACAAATCAAGTCAGTAACGTGCACTTGGTCAGACCTGTTACCTCACGTTCAAGGGTCAACAGTTTAAAAAAATAAAAATACAAGTGAAACGTGTCTGTACATTGTGTCTGCATAATTAATACTGTACAGTATACAGTACTTTATCAGATTACATTATTTATCTCGGAATGACACCGGGGGTAGCTGCGATAACGTAGCTTCTGACGACGAGACATGGTCACACGTCATAACGGAGATGTTACAACTAACTCGAGTTACTTCCCTTCTATCACGACCCAAAAAAGTACCTATAGTTCAAATGAATTGGTTTTTTTTATGTAATTCAAATGAGTCAAATAAACTTCACAAACCTATGCTTATGTATGTTTGGTTGCACTTAATACAGAAAAACGTATACTGTAATTCTAGCATGTCTGTCATTGCACTGAAATGCACTTGCTTCCAAAACCCCTCAGTTTATATCATTTTTCAAGAGTGTTGGGATGGAGCTGGGATTTGGTATTTTCAGGATGGAATTACAATTTCGGACTACGATAAAACAAAACGACCCCTACCTTTACAGTATCATACAAAATGAAATATAAAGGCCTAAGTCATATGTTGGTATTTTCGCAGTTAACTGTTCTGTAGATCGTGTAAGTGGATACCAAACAGTGATCGACCATGATAAATTATTCGAAGCTTGACCGTCTGAACAGCAATTTAACTTGAGATGAAACGATATTCAGTTTCAGTGAATGTCATTGTTAGTAAGTGCAAACATACATGAAGTGATTTGCGCATGCTGACCTTCATCAATGCATGATTCCGAAAATGTTTACATGCCTCCAGGAAGCACTTGATTTTGGAACTCTTCTTGTTGTGGAGTTACGAAAACGTGTCTGGAACTTTGGCTGGAGCAGCGTACGTTTTTAAATATTTTCGTAATGAGCAGATGAATTGCATTATCTATAAAGCAAAATACGATTCAAGTTGACATTTGCACCGTGCATTGAATTTTAGACACTTACATAATCAAAATGTAAACCATATTTTTCGGTGACAGTGCATGATCCTGTAGTATCTGGTAATTACTAATATCACGGACTTAGATTATCTAAGTCCGTGCTAATATTAATACCCGGCCTCCTCTGCCTATGAGGACGCAATATATAAAAACAATCTTTCGACGTCAGAAACCTACGTTATCGCAGCTAGGTGACAGTGAAAATAAACCCCACCCCCTTGACTTGAGAGGATAGTCTACAGTAGTCCTGTCAAGTCAAAGCACAGGGACACGGTAGTATAGTAAACAAGGACGCCTCAGACAAAAACATTATCTCGTCGTCGGAAGCTACGTTATCGCATCTAGGTAATTAATATAAATCCATGCAGGTAGGGCACACTAAAAACAGAAATGCAAATATTCTTTTTACAAATAATTGCCAAATTTTGGTCAGAATATGAACAATAAGACAGTGAAGTGTAGCATACTGAAGTTTAGTCTTGTGCTCCACCATACAATGAGTTATGTCCCCTTGTTCATTTTTTGATACCAAAGTTTCCTGGCTTTTCATCTACACATACCAAAAGTCGCTATATTTTGAGATAACAGAGTGTCACATGTTGAACTCCAGTCATTTTACATATATATAAACATATATTCATCTGCTGGATACTTAAATCCACTCAAATAAACAACAAAAGGCAAACCGTCATTGACTTACAAAACAAAGTTAAACTACCTTTTTTAGCTCACCGTGGTCTGAAGGACCAAGGTGAGCTTATGCTATACTGTGGCGTCCGTTGTCCGTCTGTCAACAATTTCTTTAAACAACTTCTTCTTAACCACTGATTGGAATTTATCTAAATTTGACTGGAAGCATCCCTAGGTGGTGGGGATTCAAAATTGTACAAATGGTGGGGCGGGGCCAAAAGGGTTCAGTTTGGCTATATTGCTACAAACGACTTCTTCTGTAGAAATATGCCCTGGATATCAATCATATTTAATCAAAAGCATTCATGGGAGGCAGGGATTCAAAATTGTACAAATGGTGTGGCTGGCCTCACCCTTGGAGACATAGTCCCTAGGCCATAACTTTAAAACGGTTGAGATCCCAACACCAAAACTATATATACAAATGCTGGGCATAAAGAGACGAATGCAGTCATGATATTAGAATAGACCCTTGGGTCTGACCAAACCCCTAGGAATCAAGTTTCTTAGTCACAGATTGGAAACAGTTGAGATCCCCACCCTATTATCATATATACAAGTACAATTGCTGAGTATAAAGAGATAAATGCACATATGCTTCCAGGATGGCCTTGGGGACTGCCCCACCCTTGGAGACTTAACCCCTGGTTCATAACTTCGAAATGGTTAAGATCCCCATCCCAAAACTATATATACAATTGTTGGGCATAAAGAGACGAATGCAGTCATGATATCAGAATTGACCCCAGGGTCTGCCCAACCCTTGCCTACTTAGCCCCTGGGTCATAACTTTGAAACGGTTGAGATCCCCACCTCAAAACTATATATACAAATGCTGGGCAAAAAGAGACAAATACAGTCATGATATTAGAATTGATCCTGGGGTCTGGTCACAACCCTAGGGACCTAGTTTCTGAGTCACAGCTTGGAAACAGTTGAGATCCCCACACCATTACCATACATAAAATTGCTGGGCATAAAAAAAATCTAATGCAGATATGCTACAAGGATAGGCCTTTGGGTCTGGCATATTCCCTTGGATCTCATTTGGAGAATATTTTGCCATGATTGCTTAGATATCCAGGTGAGCGATACAGCCCCTCTGGGCCTCTTGTTTGTAGATTGCCTTCCATAGTCTTTTTATTCTGTATGAGGCTTTACTTACATAATACAACAGGTCAGTACCGTATTTATGCCATTTGATTGACTGACATGGGGTTATTCCTTTCCAAGATGACATTAGGTGATTTTGCAAAAAAATAGTTTTTTTTTACGATCATGGAAAACAAATCTCGATACAAGTTCAATCTTACATCAGCAGTACATACTCGCCAACTCTTTGAAATTTCCATAGGGGAGATTATGCGTGTTCAGAATTAAAAGTATAAATATAATGTGTTCACACTGTATGTACACCGAAGGGGAAAAACAACACTTTTAAATGGCATCTTTTGAGCTGTTCTTTTAGATGAAATCATTAGATGTTAGAATATAGATAGGAATAGTTGAGCAAATTCACTGGATGAAAATGCTCAATTTTAGTCTCCCTCCCAAGTTGCAAGTATGCAGTGAGAAATGAGCACAGCCAACAGTTTCATTTAACAATGTAAACGAGGGAAATCCAAGCAATTTGTTGATTGAGTTTACCATTCAGCACTTCTGTTATTTAGGATATTGAGACCAAAATGGTTGCCCTTGCCTCTCCCACTGTCAAACAGCAAAACCCTAAGTGAAGAGAAGTGAAGTGGTACTTAGGCAGGACATTTTATCTATAAAGAAATAATCCCCTCTATTTCACCGAAAATCGTCAAGCTCTCTATAGTTGTAAGTCTTTGTATGTCTGTTTTCCTACTTGTTGAACTACAGATGTTTTGTCATGGTTATATCAATCCTTCTACTGTTGGGGGACCCAGTGACTTTGAGATATTTTTTTCAGTCATGTCTTCAACATGATTTAAAAAATGTTGGGGAGTCCCCATACTTAGAGATTGTAGTAAGGTTGCAAAATGTGGTTGGCTTCCACAGGGAAAGTATCAATTCCAAAACTCAAATATCTATGTCCCAAAAATCATTGGAGCTATGGATTGCTTATAGATTTTTGCCTTGTTGTTCTAAAAATTGGATTTCAAAATATTTTTCTCTCTCTTTTTTTTTAGATTTGAAATGAAGCTCCGAATACTTGCTGCTGGTTCAGGGTTTCGAAGATGGCAGACATTAACCATGTTTGCTACACGCCATCACCAAACAAAAGTCATTCAAGATGAGATATGCTGACTAGCTGTATCCTTGACTGATGACTGATCTAGACAAAGTAACCAACATACTTGAAGTGATGATGAGAAGAAAACAGAGGGAACGATGTCTGAAGTACATTTTGGCAACAGTTGTGATCTTTATATTTCTTCAAACAAATGTTGCAAAATCCATTTCGGAATATTTTTTCAAGTCTTTCCCAAACATGGAAAAACCAGCGTGGCATCACAATAGTATCATTCGTAAAGTGGTGGATCAGTTTGATTTGAACAAAGATAGTGGATCAGTTACTGAAGAGGCAGAAGAATGCCTGATCCCCCATCTGAGCCAACGCCTACGCCCGACAGACACAAACGGAAGTAGGGGAAAGGTGGCATGTTCCCGTATAGCCCCTGTGGCTGGCTCGTGTACCTTAGCCAGGGAGATGTTTGTGGCATCTCGCACACTACAGTGTGATTCCAAACTGTCAACATTATGTACATTACAGGTAAGCTTCTCTGTGATCTACTGAGACATACATGTACATGGATGTTTGGAAATGACATTTAGTGTTTTTCCCATTTCTCTTAGTAGGTCCATATGTCTGCTTGTCTGTGTAACATCTTCGTTGGACATTACGTTACCTCCATTACGGTTCTTGATACTAGATGTCCTGAATAGCCGTCTTATGCGGATATATCATAGGGAGTAGAGAAGTATATATCAAATGTAGGTCACATCCCTGTGGCATATATATTTTTCCACTTACAACTGACTTTGGCTACATCTTAAGTTTAGCTTGATTTCTTTGTTGAGAATTTTCTGTTAGCTCCATTTCCATCAAAGTTGGAGCTGGGTATATGTTATACAAACATTTGCTTGTTAGATCTTTGGATGCAAAACTTGTCTCTTTCAGTTGTAGATGACCAGAGACATGAGTTCTCTATAGTGTGTCGGGTTTCATTTGTGGTCTAGTCCTCTGCAGTTTTCAAGTCATGTAGTGTAAGGGTGCTGTTTTATTCATCAATTTTGTGAGAAGATTGCATTATGAGCTCAAGTACAACATCATAACTATCAAATGTACACAGTTGTTTTTAAATCCTGAGATTGGTTTATCGGTCCTCATCATAAAAATCAGCTAGGAAAAATACTAATAATTACCTTATCGTAAATGTTTTCATTCTTTGTTACAGGGCTCAGGGCTCAGACTGAAAGTCGAGTGTGACATCAAGCTGTGTGCCCTACCCGTGGTCATGGGAACCATCCAACCAGACACAGGAGAGTTACTATGGAAACGCTTTCGGGATAAACTGTCTCTCCAGCAGCACATCGCTAAAATGGTGGACCCTTCAAACTCAAAACCGCATTTTGGCTTCTGCTTTCTGAAATGTTTGAAGAAAGCGTATGAAGATTACATGTATGACATCATAGGAAAATACAACAAAGACGAGGGAATACCAATGTACGATGACATCCACTCCATGTATTACATGTCTCAATTGTTGACTCTACCTCCAGTAGTCCGACAAAAGAAAACAAAAAACCATTCATTGTTCAACATCAACATGATATTTATTGATTCCGTGTCTCGTCATCACTTCTATAGGACCTTACCAGAGACCATCAAGGTCATGGAGTCGATCAACCATGACAACGTCAAGGATGGTCATGGGCCAGTGGCTTTAGACTTTGAACTCATACAGAGTATGAGATCAAGAACGTTTGAAACCTTACAAGCTCTGTTTTCTGGTTATGTTGATCCTTCAGAGAAACCGTTTGGTGTTTTAGACATGCCCCCTGTACCCCTTTCCATTGAATCCCTGTTTGGTCCCTTTAAGGCCCTAGATTACCACACGCTGTGGCTGGAAGACCTTTGCTGGGAATGGGAGTGGGGGATATCTAAAGATTTAAGGGCCTACAATAAGTCACATTCTAGTAGAAAAATATGGAAAAGGTTACATGCAGCACTGAAGAAAGCTGGTATTGACGGCCTGGATACCACTCTGTCCAGCTGTGAAATACTGCGGGTCAATAATGTCAACGACCACTTCCATGGACCAGACACGGTGTGTTATGGCGGTCAGTTTCAGCATCAGTTTGCCCTCGACTACCTCAAACTTTACCAGTCTCGCATGGCCAGCCTCGATCAGCGTTTCATCTCATTCTTAGAGACCAATGTTGGGCACGAGGACACTGGACGTAGAATCAAAACGCTTGACCAATCATTGGCGAGTTATCTAAAGTTCGCCTCAACATTGAACAATACACTTACTATCTTGTTTTCGGATCATGGAAATGCATATGGCAACTTCTTAGACGTTAGTTTGGAGGGTCGTGTCGAAATGTTCCATCCCTTCCTGATGATGGTGCTTCCAGAGAAAGTCCGAGACAAACTTGGTCCGGATCAGACAAGTGCTCTCATTTCTAACCAGGACAAACTGATCAGTCTGTTAGATCTTCACCACATGTTATATGACATAGCAGTGATAGGACAACCCTCTCTCTTCACCAACACATCAACTTTACAGAGAAAACACCTGTCCACGGCCAGGAATACTGTTCTTCCTTTGTCTTACTTTCCCAAAATCAAGGAACAGTTTCAGGTACCTGATAAAGGTTTATTATCAAGGGTTTCACCTTCTAGGACCTGTGACCAGATGCCTCGAATCATGCCGAACCTGTGTATCTGTGAAGGCTTTGAGAATTCCGTAAAGAACGACTCCCATCTTGTCATGTTTGCCCACTTTGCTTTAAGTAAGCTGAACAGTGTTATCCACTCCCAGTACAGGAGAGGCAGTCCGGATACCAACTCTTCATTTGGGCGATGTCGACGTCTCGTACTCCACAGCTTTAGAAATGTCAAAACTAATTTTGGAAAGGTAATTACATTTTGATACCGTTTCTTTCATATTATAGGCTGTTTGTTTCATGTGTTAGAGTGAAGGTAATATTTTTAATATTTTTTAGTTGTAGGTTTTGCTTGATATTTGCATCCTCGACACTCCAGGGATTACGCTCACTTTCGCTCTCTACACCCCTGGAATATATGTCACAGCAAAATTGAAGGCTCAGTGTACACCACCTGGTGGACGAGATAAGAAGACTATTTCAATCCTTTGATGTTCATTAAAAGAATCTCACCGTCACGTAACGGTAAACATTGACAGGCTTTGAAGTCAGGTGTCGCTCCTTTGTAATCTTCAAAGTACAGGTATCAGCCTGGCGATTGGTCAGGTTTTTTTACCCGAGACCAATCAAACAGCTATCTTTGTGTCTTCAATTTTGCTATGACATATTCCAGGGTTGCAGAGAGCGAAAGTGAGCGTAACCCTTGGAGTATCGCTGATGGATATTTGAGGCTGTTGGTGAATAGTTTTGTATGTGCTCATGTAGGGGACATATTAAGTGTTTGAGGTGGTTGGAGGTTTTACACGTATTTGAGTTGTAGATGCTATGTTTGGTATTTAAGTTACATATGTAACAGGAAAGAGAGTGTGCTTCCATCTGGATCGAACCTGTGACCTCCAGCGTCCCAGTCTGCTGCTCTACCAATTGAGCTAAAAGGAAATTCCCTCTAGCACAAAGCTACATAGTGCCTGAAATCCTATGTACAATTAAAATCTGCCACACATGCAATGTTCACTATAATTTAAGTGATATGTTTGATATTTGAGTTTGTACATATAGGTGACATGATTTGTATTAGGAGAGATATTTCTCTGTAATCACCCGCAGTCCAAATAAGTGTAGTCGTTCTGCTCTTTTATGATGCTGGATCAAAGGACCTTGTTTATATATACAACTGTAATTTAACTCGTGAAAACAAAGTTTCTCAATCCTCAGATGATATGTTTTCAACGTTCTTCAGAATTCAAAAAATCTTGTTCTATAAAGCATATCATGGAGGTCCAGAATTCTGGATCTCCTTTCTTTCTAAGTGGTGATAAGTAAATTGTAAATTAAGGAAACAAAGAATAAAATTTTAGACCTGACTGTAATATTCTAATAATTAGTGAGCATTTCTTGATTTGTAAAACAAACTCTAAATTGTTTTCCTTAACCCTTTCACCCCTATATAACTTTAGTAGACTCTACCATGCATTGATATGTAAGAGTCCATTATGGTCTACAGTGGTGAAAGGGTTAAAACCTGTTAAAATCAGCTCTGAAACTGAATTGTAGCATATTTCATATCTACTGTGATTATATTACAGAACCACACCATGTACCTTACCATGGAGCTGTCTGTCCGACTGACCAGGAGTCAACCGACAGAAGTCTTCTTTGTTGCACTGACGTACTCTCTGGGGAGACAGGGGTCACTCACGCTGACAAAGTTTGACCGTACCTCTCCCTACAGTGGCTTTAAGGCCTGTGCTGATCCAGGTGTTGACCTCAATCTTTGTGTATGTGACGTTAAAACAGGTATGCCAAGCCAACCTTTTACTGCCAATAATATCCCTAAGTCAGTCGTACTTGCAAAATCAAAAATAGACATGGTGGACAAAACGTTCAGTTGTCTTCTGTTACTGACCACTGAGAATGACCATGGGGTTGTACTAGAAGCCTTCAACCTGTGTCCAAGACAAGCATTCAAGATCCAAATACGGGCGATTACAATGAATCTCTTACTGACTACGTCATCCAGACAAGTGGTTGGGACGTTGAGGCCGTTTGAGGTTAAGCTGATGGTGGCTGCTGTGGAAATTAATCCGAGGGAGGAGATCTCATGGAGATACAAAATATCTTTGTTACTGGTATGACCCTGCTTAGCTTTAATATTTCATATGATGTGTTCTGTGTCCTGTAGTTTATTGCCTGCGTATACATTCGGAGACCTTTGGTTCTTAGTCCTCTGACATCATTCCTGTAATGGCTCTATGGTTACCTGGTATATGATCTTTGACAGGCTTTGAAGTCGGGATGTCGCTTATATGTAATCTTCAAAGTACAGGTATCAGCCTGGCGATTGGTCACGTTTTTTTTTACCTGAGACCAATCAAACAGCTATCTTCGTGCCTTCAATTTTGCTATGACATATTCCAGGGGTGCAGAAAGCAAAAGTGAGCGTAACCCCTGGATATCGAGGATGACCATGATCATGATTTCTACTTTCCTACATTAGCCTCATAAAATACTTTGAGGTAACATGTGGACTAATCATTTTAGTGATTTACACAAAGAATATTCTGTACAGGGTACACATTCTTAATTACTGTATGTTATATGTTTAAGGTCACACTACTAACTTATTCTCAAGTCGAAATAATTAACTCCAATATTTTTCTTTATAATGGGTTATTTAATTAAAAATAGATACTAAATCACTACAATACTCATACTCCAACTCAGTTCTCTGCACGCCTGGAAGACGTCATGGTAAAATCTAAAGGTTGTAGAAATGCCACCCTGTGGACGACACAAGTAGGCTAGTTCGAGTCTTTCATACTGTAGTATAGCGCTTTAAATTTGCGGGGTCAATTATTCCCAGGGGTTAAATTTCGCTGTGCAACCGATTCCCATGTGTCGTGCATAGTATTTTGAGTGTCATCATTTAAGGGTTAAACCTGGAAATACATGTAAACTGTTCGAAAATACTGACCCCAAGCGTCGCCATCCGCCAGTGACTTCACTTTAAAGAAAAGAAGATGTGTATACATGTACCTTTGTAGGAGTAAACTGTAATCAATTAATCACCTACTGTGTACACATAAACCTGTTGTGGCCACTTATATGTTAGTGTTGATTTTACATGGACTGCCCGGTTATCCGGTGATAATCTTATTTGAGTTCATTTAAGCTTGCATAACAGCGTTTGATCATAAGTATTTTCAGCAGGTTGTGATAAGGTCCGAAAAGTGGTTAACATTTTCGATGATTTCGCTGGTGTTTAGAATTTGCGAATATAAGTCAAAGTGTGAATATAGCGGAAATTAAAACCCCTGTGAAATATAACTTCAATACAGTATACAGCAAAAGAATGTGGCAGTAGCATAACAGTAAAATTAAGAGGAATTGAAATTGGGTCCCGCTCCTCTGTAATCTTTAAATGACAGGTATCAGCCTAGCAATTGGCTAGTTTTTGTTAATTCCTGAAACCATGTACCTTCTTGCCTTCAATTTTGCCATGACATATTCCTGGGTTGCAGACAACTGATGTAAGTGAGCATATTTGAAATCCCTGGAATTTCGAGCATACTGTACAATGCAGACAGAGAGTGTTGTAGTAAATTCGTATAGAATTTTAATTAGATCATTTCATTAGTATTCTCCTAATTATATAAACTTAAAACTGTTTAAAAAGGTTATGAAGTACATTTTTGGGTAATCATCTGAGTATTAACTGTTTTTTCTTTTTATTTACATTCCAGTGTCATATATTCATAATTATAATTTATGTACTTTTTGTAGAAGTATTGTTTGTATTATAAATGTTATTTAATCCTGTTTATGTTAAGTAATTTTTCATCTTACACAGGATCTGTTGGTATCATCTATTTTTATGTAGATCAGTAAACTTACATAGATTATACACACTTACATAGAGTATACATGTACAAACTTATAAGTTTGTTGTATAACTGTTGTGCTAGCTGGTTGGTTATAACTTGTTGACAGGTGAATAACAAATAATATACATTTTTTACAAATCTTGGTCTTTTGTGAAAGTTCCTAGATGTAATTGAATCGATATTTGTATCTTTGGTTTAAAAACCGTGTTTGGGACTTTTTTGTATCAAGAAGATTTTGAATCATTCCATTTACTATTATTTTTTGTCTCTCACCTAAAAGGTATGATGTATATACAAAGGTAAATATATCGGTCAAAGAAGTTATATAGACGGTAAAATCCCATATTACACTGGATCCTAATGGGGGTATGTCCGTAGGATACGAATTACTTAAAATAGTATATGGGGCAAAGAAGTAATTCCAACAGTGTGGACAAGTTTAGGTTGTCAAATTTTCGGAGCGATCCGCTCCTTTTTCAAGACACAGTGAAACAGAACAGTTACATGTACATATACATCATATTACAAGAAGGTAGAATCGATATACTATAATTGAAAATATAGCTATTATATAAATCCAATAGTCCCCTCGGCTAAAGACAGCCGAAGGCAGCAATTAAGCTGAGAGCATCACGGACAAGGAACGCTGATGTAGAGGACCTATTCTTGCGCAAGATGCACTGTCATATATAGTGAGTCAACGAGAGATATCATTCTTTTATTAGCTCACCTGGTCCGAAGGACCAAGGTGAGCTTATGCCATACCGTGGCGTCCGTTGTCCGTCCGTCCGTACGTATGTCCGTACGTCAACAATTTCTTTAAACGACTTCTTCTTCTTAACCACTGGTTGGAATTAAACTAAATTTGACTGGAAGCATTCCTAGGTGGTGGGGATTTAAAATTGTACAAATGGTGAGGCTGACCCCCCAGGGGGCTAAGGGGCGGGGCCAAAAGGGGTCAATTTGCCCATATTGCTTTAAGCGACTTCTTCTCTGAAACTAAGAAGTGGATATCAACCATATTTGACTGGAAGCATTCCTAGGTGGTGGTGATTAAAAATTGTACAAATGGTGGGGCTGACTCCCCAGGGGGCTTAGTGGCGGGCCAAAAGGGGGCGATTTGGCTATATTGCTATAAACGACTTCTTCTGTAGAACTGTGCACTGGATATCAATCATATTTTATCAAAAGCATTCCTGGGAGGCAGGGATTTAAAATTGTACAAATGGTGTGGCTGACCCCCCAGGGGGCTGAAGGGCAGGGCCAAAAAGGGTATTTGGCTATACTGCTTTTAGCGACTTCTTCTCTGGAACTAAGAAGTGGATATCAACCATATTTGACTGGAAGCATCCCTGGGTGATGGTGATTAAAAATTGTACAAATGGTGGGGCTGACCCCCCGGGCTAAGGGTTGGGGCCAATAAAATGCATTACTTGGAAATGGTTGAGATCCCCACCATATAACCATATATACAATTGCTGAGTATAAAGAGAAGAATGCACATTTGCTTCCAGGATGTCCCCAGGGTCTGCCCCACCCTTGCAGACTTGGCCCCTGGGTCATAACTTTGAAACGGTTGAGATCCCCACCCCAAAACTATATATACAAATGCTTGGCAAAAAGAGACAAATGCAGTAACGATATTAGAATCGATCCTGTGGTCTGGCCACAACTCTAGGGACCTAGTTTCTGAGTCAAAGCTTGGAAACAGGTAAGATCCCCACCCCATAACCATACATAAAATTGCTGGGCATCTAATATAGCTATGCTACAAGGATTGGCCTTGGGGTCTGGCATATTCCCTTGCTCTCATTTGGAGAATAGTTTGCCATGATTGCTTAGGTATCCAGGTGAGCGATACAGCCCCTCTGGGCCTCTTGTTTTACATAGGTAAATAATATTGCTATAAACGACTTCTTCTGTAGAACTGTGCACTGGATATCAATCATATTTTATCAAAAGCATTCCTGGGAGGCAGGGATTTAAAATTGTACAAATGGTGTGGCTGACCCCCCAGGGGGCTGAAGGGCAGGGCCAAAAAGGGGATTTGGCTATACTGCTTTTAGCGACTTCTTCTCTGGAACTAAGAAGTGGATATCAACCATATTTGGCTGGAAGCATCCCTAGGCGATGGGGATTAAAAATTGTACAAATGGTGGGGCTGACCCCCCGGGCTAAGGGTTGGGGCCAATAAAATGCATTACTTGGAAATGGGTGAGATCCCCACCATATAACCATATATACAATTGCTGAGTATAAAGAGAAGAATGCACATTTGCTTCCAGGATGTCCCCAGGGTCTGCCCCACCCTTGCAGACTTGGCCCCTGGGTCATAACTTTGAAACGGTTGAGATCCCCACCCCAAAACTATATATACAAATGCTTGGCAAAAAGAGACAAATGCAGTAACGATATTAGAATCGATCCTGTGGTCTGGCCACAACTCTAGGGACCTAGTTTCTGAGTCAAAGCTTGGAAACAGGTAAGATCCCCACCCCATAACCATACATAAAATTGCTGGGCATCTAATATAGCTATGCTACAAGGATTGGCCTTGGGGTCTGGCATATTCCCTTGCTCTCATTTGGAGAATAGTTTGCCATGATTGCTTAGGTATCCAGGTGAGCGATACAGGCCCTCTGGGCCTCTTGTTTTACATAGGTAAATATATATAGATTTGTAACAGATATCATTCCATATAATTTATTTGAAAAAAACCCCCTGATAGGTCTTTGTAGCACCTTTTGTTGGAGTTGTCATGACATATACTGAATTTTGGCACAATTGTACATTCCAGTACATTATCACCTAGATTGTATCATAATGCCATCAGTTTTGATATAACCCAACTCGGGGTTAGGGATGCATTATAGTATAAATGTATATATGTTTTTGGAAATTTCATTTCATGTAAAATAATTTAATTGTGACACTATTATTATATACCATATCAACTTGTACAGGCTTATACAGTGTTAAAGAAGTTTTAAAAGAAAATTCATGCAGTGTTTTTTTTTGCTTTGTTTGTCAAACTTTCTATGTGATTTATTGTTGTAAATGAAGTAAGTCACTTTTTACTTTATAGGGAGTGTTGATATTTTATGCATTTAAAAAAATGTATATCTTGGTTCATTCCGGTCAGTCAGTCCATTATTCCATATACATTCTGTAAAAAAGATTTTGCTCAAGAATATAATGTTTTGTTTATTTTGTTTCAGATTTGCTGTTCAGTACTAATCATATTATGATGTTTGATATATTATGTTTATTTGAAAGGTTTGTTATTATTTTTATGCAGATTTTAATTTTGTTTCTGTGGGTAGCAATATATATCTATTTAAGCATATATTCCATTCTTTTATTTTACAAGTGGATGTTTTCTAAGAGATTATGGTCAGTTAAAGTGGTGTTTTGTTTAGATATTTACTCAAATGATTACAATACATCTATAGCGATCCTGTCATCAAATTGTGAAAATCCCCTCGTAACGAAAGTTCGAGGAGATATATAGGATTCCCTCCATACATACGTATGTTACACTCTTTGTCATCGCTCTAATGACTTCATTCCTCAACAGAATTTCATGAAACTTGATACAAGTGTTTAGTATGACAAAACCTTGAACAAGGGTGCGTTTCGGGTTTCTTCATTGAAAGTCAAGGTCACTGTTACTATTTTTAGTAGAAAAAAATTGTCATCGCTCGAGTGACTTCATTCCTCAACAGAATATCATGAAACTTGATACAAGTGTTAAGTATGACAATACCTTGAACAAGGATACGTTTCGGGTTTCTTCATTGAAGGTCAAGGTCACTGTTACTATTTTTAGAAAAAAATATGTCAATGCTCTAGTGATCACTTCATTTCCTCTTACATATGTCACAATGTGTGAATTGGAGGGGATTTGTATCACCTGTGATGCTTTGTTTGATATATTCAAATGGTAATGGTATTGGTATTCCTTTCATAGAGATACCCAAGGATGAGATTGTACCTCTACTTGAAAATTTTTTGAAAATTGTCTTTTCACATTCCAGTCCCATACATTTTCTAGTCCTTTGTTCCATAACAAATTTTGTTTATTATTTTTGTTTGAGTGATTTTACATCTGCTTCACTTCTGAGTAGTTCGGTTATCCAGCAGATAAAAAACAGGTACGAAAATGAGTGGAATGGAAGGATTAGAAAAGGATGAATATATAAGATTTGATCGATTGATTGATTGATTGGTTTTATAAACATCTGCTTTGCTACCGAGTAGTTTGATTATCCAGCAGATAGTATATCAGATAGATTGATTGATTGGTTTTACATCTGCTTCACTACTGTGTTTGGAAGTTTAATCTGAGCCTAAATTTCTCATGTTTTAAGATTGTAAGAAAAAGGAAGATGTCTACTACTGATCTATGGTGTGTACTATCTCCTATAGAGATGTGTACTATCTCTTATAGAGATGTGTACTATCTACTATAGAGATGTGTACTATCTCCTATAGAGATGTGTACTATCTCCTATAGAGACGTGTACTATCTACTATAGAGACGTGTACTATCTCCTATAGAGATGTGTACTATCTCCTATAGAGATGTGTACTATCTCCTATAGAGATGTGTACTATCTCCTATAGAGATGTGTACTATCTCCTATAGAGATGTGTACTATCTCCTATAGAGATGTGTACTATCTCCTATAGAGATGTGTACTATCTCCTATAGAGATGTGTACTATCTCCTATAGAGATGTGTACTATCTCCTATAGAGATGTGTACTATCTCCTATAGAGATGTGTACTATCTCCTATAGAGATGTGTACTATCTCCTATAGAGATGTCTACTATAGAGATGTGTACTATC